GGATGCCGTATAACCTAACAGCTTGAAACAAGTGCCGATGGTAGGTCATTCTTGGGGAAAAGTGTTAAAATATTTAATAAAATACCACAATCTCCTATAGAACCTATGCATAAATTCAAAGTACAGGAAAATCCTTATGAAAAAAGGATAGGTACTATAAAGTAAACGACTATAATGACAAGAGTGCTTGTTTTTTACCTGCTTATCTCGCACTTACTGCGTGTCATGTAAGCAATTTATAATTACGGTATTTAATTGAAAAAGAGGCTGACAAACGTGACTGAGTTTCTTCCGCCCATTCTCAGCACCAGCCCATATGTTGTCCCAAAGTGGTGGTAGGGCAAGCTATATTTGGGACGTGTATGTATGCCCTACAAAGAGCCTATATACTGAATAAACTATTTGAATTTGAATTGGGGCTAACTACATCAATAGGGTTTGCTGAGATTTTTAATGAGAAATAATGAGGAAACAAAGTCAACTCAATAGAAGAAGATGATGAGATGGCCCAACCATGAATAAAAATTCTGATGATTATTGATGATTGATTAAAATTTCTGATGATTCAATCTATTTTTTGAAGGGTTTCCCATTTTTAAAGTGAAATAAATAATAAATTGGACTTCCTTTTCAATAAATAAATAATTGCATAAATACGTACTTATAAGTAGAAATAAAGTATAAAATGCGTGAAAAAAAAACTTTTTAAACCCAAACCTATACTATTGAGTAATATAAATCAACGAGTTTGGGTCCCCAGCGTCCCGTTGTGTGACCGCAAACAAGATCTCAACATGACACGGTACTTTTCATAGGTTTTTTGATCGGTATTTTTTTTATTTGAGCTAATTTTTTTTTAATGAATATTTAGCTTAAAATCCAGATAAAATATCCATTTTTTACACTCGGAGATATACCATTGAGTGGCGACCAGGAGCCGGAAGACCTAGCGTGGGCAGGCCTCCCACTAGGTGGACCGACGATCTGGTGAAGGTCGCGGAAGGTGCCTGGATGCGAGCGGCGCCGAACCAGTCTTTGTGGAAATCCTTGGGGGAGGCCTTTGCCCAGCAGTGGGCGTCTTTCGGCTGAAACGAACCATATACCATTTATAGGTATGAGAAAACAATTAAAAAGTACAGTTCTTGAGAACTATATTAATTAAGAAAATTCTAAAAAAATAAAAACAACACCCTCTCATTCGGTACATGTGAGAACATAACCGAAAACATAATATCCGGTTAGCATACCTCCTATTTGAACGCGGGAAGTTATCAGAGGGGAATTTGAACAAAAGCTCGCGAAAGCTCAAGTTTGCAAGCGAATCGTATGGAGCACAAAATAAACGTTAACTTCTTATAAACAACTTAGGCTATGATTGTACTTTATTAACAATAGGCAGAATTAAAAAGGACACGTATTTTTATTTGAATTGTATTTTAATTAGCTTCAAACTTATATTTATTCCTATAGCTAAATACAAAATTATTACACTAAAAATATGCTTTACATGACTAAATATACATATTATAATCATTTTACTTACCTAAGTATGTGATTGCCGCTACCAACCGATCATAAAGGAAATCATTGTGGGAGGCCTTTGTTCAGCAGTGGACGTCCTATGGCTGATATTATGATGATGATGATGTCGTTTTATTAACTGCGCAAGGTATAACAAAACCAATATCGTCCTACTCTCGTAGTATTGTTACGTCTCGAAGATAGCCTAATCATTGTAATGCTTTCTTTTCAATCATGATTAATTGTATAAAGAAAGGACAAGAATAGAGTTAAGTTCGAAATGATAAAATTTTGCTGATATTTAATTCGAAACAACGACCCATAATTTCACATGAAGTTCTTTGTAAATCCAATATTAGTGCCTTCTTAAAAAGGTATCGCACAATTAAGAACCTTACGGTAGTGGAATAAGAACTAAATTACAAGTTCAGCTACAGTACAGCCGCGCACAAAAGCAAAAAGACGTAAGTTCCGAGGTAAATGTCAAAAGGCAGCCGAACTAGTCCATGCTAACACTTTTTCTATACAGTCAGAAACAAAACGGTAACTAGCGTAGTTCGCACTCTTTTGCTTTTGAAAACTTTTTGTGGTATCATCGAGCACGAAATTAGTTTGAAATGTTTCTGTATTTTTTTTACAAAACACTTCTGTATCTCTGTGTATACTCGTATTTAGGTCTACTTTCTTCTTTTAAAAAAAACTCAAAAGATAATAAAGACACACTTAATCAATCATGCGTGTTGCCAGTGATGGTATACGGATCTGAGACGTGGTCGCTTACTATGGGCCTCATAAGAAGGCTCAAGGTCACCCAAAGGGCGATGGAGCGGGCTATGCTCGGAGTTTCCCTGCGTGATCGAATCAGAAATGAGGAGATCCACAGGAGAACCAAAGTAACCGACATAGCTCGCAGAATTGCTAAAATCAAGTGGCAGTGGGCGGGGCACATGGCTCGTAGAGACGATGGCCGTTGGGGCAGGAAAGTTCTCGAGTGGCGACCACGGGCTGGAAGACGTAGCGTGGGCAGGCCTCCTACTAGGTGGACCGACGATCTGGTAAAGGTCGCGGGAAGAGCCTGGATGCGGGCAGAGCAGGACCGTTCATTGTGAAAAACCTTGGGGGAGGCCTTTGTCCAGCAGTGGACGTCATTTGGCTGAAAAGAAATCAATCATTAAAATTTAGTATCTACTGCAGGAGCACGACTCGCTCTCTAATTTCTTCTTCTTTGTCGGTTCGCTCTTGACAAAATGGTCGTGGTCACGTTGAGATTGAGGCGTCACGTCTCTACTATTATTTATATATTGCTATTTCTGTGTACTATTTGCAGAACACAGCTTTCTGCTTTCTTTAATTATTTTGGATTTGGCCTACACACGCCACACTGGCCAGTCGGGTTGAGAATAGGGTTGCCAGGCGTCCGGCTTTAGCCGGACATGTCCGGTTTTTGTTAGGCTTTTTATTTGGAAATTTGGATATTTGCAAGTCGAGCCACAGAATCATATGCGCACGTATCAGGATGTTGGTCAACAACCGATGATGATAGTAGGGTAAGGTGGGGCACAATGTTACACGGGGTACAATGTTATAATGCATATTTCTCCTTCCCTTTCTATAGTTGTATGATGTTCAGCGGCTCAGTTCAGCAGCTCTTATGAGCTTGACAAACGTGTATACCAAAACATCATACAACTAATAGAAAGGGACGGAGAAATATGCATTGTAACATTGTGCCCCACCTTACCTTACTAATTGCATATGTCCGGCTTTTAGGGTAAAATGTCCGGCGAAATGAAGCACAAAGTCCGGCTTTTGTGATTTTGGACCTGGCAACCCTAGTTGAGAAGGTCTGATGTACACATATTTGGCCATTTATTTTGTCGCCTTTCACGACTTCCAAGAAAAGAGTATGAGTGGTTCTTCGCTTTTCTACTTCTAGAACACTTCGTAAGTTAGTAAAAAAGTCAGAAAGAAATAAAATATTTTATTGCTCACTGTACTTTCACCCAAGCGAGTACAAAAGTGAAACAATTACAGTTCTAAACAAAATTCGGAGAGAAAAGCGAAAACTTTAGTTGTTAACGGTTTTTCTTCGGTACAATAGGGAACAAAACCATAACTGCCGTAGATTATATTATATTTATTTATTTGTGCCTGATAGATACAAACAAGTTCATAAAGGTAGCAGAAAAGCGCTGGACGCAGGCCGCTACCAACCGGGCAACATGGAAAGCATTGGGGAAGGCCTATGTTTAGTAATGGACGTCCTGTGACTGAGATGATGATGATGATGATGATGATGATGATGAGATACAAAAAAATATTGATCATGGAGTTTTGTTTCAAAACTGGTGGGGATTAGACTTATTTTAATTGGGAATTACCGTGATGGAAAAGTCAGTTTATTTTCCTTATTTACTGAGTAATTGTGATAATAATAAATTGTTCACAATTAATATTAATAGTTAAATTAGTAATTTATTAAAATCAAATAATTGGAGGAAATAAGAATTAATTACTGAGGAAATTGAATTAAATTAATAAATAAATATCCTTGGACATTTTACACTGCGCTTCTAGTCCCCAACTAAGCAAAGCTTGTACTATGGGTACTAGACAACGGATATAAACATACTTAAATACTTTTTTTTGTAAATACATACTTAATATACATAGAAAACACCCAGTCCAATACAAACGAATACGTGTTCATGCCCACAAATGTTTGTAATGTGCGGGAATCGAACCCGCAACCTCCGGAATAGTAGTCCGTTTCGAACCACTACACCAAACGGCCGACTGAATTGAAAGGGAATCTACGTTTTTGGTGAAAAGTTTTACCTTGTTTCTAGCTGCAACGATGAATCATGAATGATTCATACTTACCAAAAGCAATTTTTATTATAATATGTAGTAGTGTACTTAATAATCAAGTAAATTATACTGATAACAATTGTATAATTTGCTTGATTGATTAATCTTTATTGTTGTCAATACACGTATGTGATAAATAATGTATTGAAATGCGATAAAAAATTACATTTTTTGTACAATAAAAAAAATATTTGCATAGTATATTAGAATAATTAAATCGTATCTGTACGTGTACATAAGTACATATTTTGTTTCCAAATTATAAAAAACTAGCGGCAAAAAGTCTGTATATTAAATTAAAATAATGTATTGAACGAAATCGAAAAACGTAACAAAACAGAGTTTTAAATATTTTTTATTTGTATTTTTACAAGACAGACGCAAAAAACAGCTTATTTCTTTAAAATTATTATTTTTTCCTTATACTTAAAAATATTCCAAAACTATTATAGCCCAACAAAACATCTATATTTTTTGTGGACAAGGTCACGGGCACCACTAGTATTTTATGATAATCCGATAACTTCGACGGATAAGATAAATATTGGTAGGTACACAGTTTTACTCATTACATATGAGTATTATCTTTTTGATAAATTGAGCTTAGCCATCTATCCAGCCATTGTATTAAAAAACTTAGCAAAGGTCGCACACGTGTCAAAAGTTACTAAATAATTATAATAATTTACTTTACAGAGTGCTAAATGGGTGTTACTTGTGAAACTATTATAAATACGCCACCAGATGGCGCTTTCACACCTGGAAGTGCAGTGAGCGGAGTAGTCCGATACTCGATTATAGATGTACCAGTGAAGAGAATAGTCATATCACTCAGAGGAGCTGGCATTCTTAATGTAACTAAGGGAAGATACATAGGAAGTTACACAAACAGTGAAGATTACGTCAACACCGCGACATTCGTTAATCTGAACGAAAATGATAAATCTAGTGGACACGTGAACACAGCTCAATTCCAATTCCAACTACCAGACAACATACCGTCGTCAATGATAATTAAAGGACAACTCGAAATTATTTGTAATATGCTATACAACCTCCGTGTAGAGTTTGTCGTATCAGGAAGGTTTTCGTGGAACAAAGTCTTCGAAAAAGACATTAAAGTGGTCTCAACAGCGATCAGACCGGCACTCTCCATGACACCGCTAACACGGATCGAAACGAAGAAGCTGTTCACGGTATTGAGCAAAAAGAACAACGTTAAAATCAAAGCAACAATTCAAAGCTGTGTGCTTAGGCCCGGCGGCAGATTAGAGCTGGCCTACGAAGTTGAAAATGAAACTAATATTGATATCATATCAGTTGAAACTCGACTGGTCGAGGTCTACAAATACTATGATTCGAACGTAAGTCACGCTATTGCAAAAGTGAATAAGGCTGTTCCTAATATGCAGTCAAAAAGTGCTGTGGTCAAATCGGGAGAGTCTTTAAAAACAAGATGGGAAGTCGATCTGCCACCAAACATTTATTCCATCGAAAATTCCAAAATGGTGATCAGAAGTTATGCCTGTGTTCTCACGACTGTGTTGCCAGTACCGCACAAAAACTACCACGTTGTTATTCCTTTACAAATTGGTACTTGGGATGATGGTGGCCAAAGTCAATCTACAACTGCTGGACCGTCAAATGAAGAACCGCCACCAAGTTATTGGCTATCTACAGATAATTTGAATTTTGAATAGATATATCAAATATTTTTGCGATAATTGTGAGGAAATAAATACGTGCGAGGCAATATTAACACGTTGAAATTAAGATCGACAAAATAAAAATATTCTGTGTAATAAAAAAACCGTCTTCTATGTTAAATTAAGATGAAAAATTTACAGTTAGTGTTATAAACTATGTTAGGGTATGAACTGTACTACCCACATATTTATTACTTGCTGAGAATTATTGAAAAATTTGTTAAGTAGGTACCTGAACAGTTTTTAAAGTGTCTTCAAATATTGAACTCTTGCCCTTTTTCAGTGTAAATCACTTGATTGTTTAGATCTTATTATGTACAAAATCGTTTGATAAGATATTTTAGTTAATTTAATAGTTTTTTATTGCTTTTTTATATCAGTAATTGTGTAAATAGCCTCTTTAACATTAAAGAAATCTAACCTTTCTATACCAGTGTCTGAATAGGCTACTTTCCTAAAAAAAATCAATCAATCAATTTTAATACTAAAAAATATTGGACACGTATATTTTTAATTGTCAATCAAACAAATAATTACAAAGTTACAGTGCGTTGAAGTTCTGCGCGACGTCACAAAGTGCTGCACTTTACGCACTCACTGACGTCACGGGCCTTTTCTTTAGAACTTTGGCACGCTTTTTCTCTTTACATTTTCATTAGTTTTAAAAAGTGAAAAATACGTGTCGAGTAGTTTTTGATAAGCTAACTGAAGGACTAATTATAACTCTTGCTTTTTTACCCAGGAAACATCCCTATTCTCTGTGCACATACTTTTCCCACTGTTCAAAGAGAGATTTGATATTATTGCTGGGCAAAATATACATGTCAACGTGAATATGTGAACTCTGTCAGTTTATAATATAACGCGTAAGATTGTAAACTAACAGTGGGTTAGGTTAGGTTAGATTGTAATTTAACTACGTCAGATTATAATCTGACGGAATTAACAATTTTACGGTGACATACACATGCCTGAGAGGAACCTATCATTGTGATAGTTAGTGAGAATGGGTGGATGTTACTCTCACACATAACTACTGAATAGATTTAGAGCAAAGTAAAGTAAGGTAACCGAATGTAAAGGTAAAGGAATGGAGGCCGCGTACCGGAAAACGCAGCGTGGGACGTCCACCTACAAGGTGGACCGACGACATCGTAAAGTTAGCAGGGAAGCGCTGGACGCAGACCGCTGCCAATCGATCAACATGGAAAGCATTGGGGGAGGCCTATGTTCAGCAGTGGACGTCCTATGGCTGAAATGATGATGATGATGATGAAAGTAAGGTAAATTACTACTTACCTTAGTAAATATTTTTTGACTTGATTATTTATAACTTTGTATATTTTAAAGCCTGTAAACCTTTGAAAAAGAGGCTGACAATAGTGACTGAGTTTCTTGCGCTGCTTCTTCTCAGCACTGGCCCATTTATTGTCCTGAAGCAGTGGTAGGGTTAATACTGGGACGTGTAAAAGTGCTTTTTTAAGCCTATTTACAGAAATAAATGAGTTTCATGAGTTTTATTAGACAAAACCTTACAATATTAGAGATTTGAAGATCTACTATTTTTTGCTGGGCTTGTAATAATAAAATATTTACTTGCCTGGTAGAAATAAGTAATACATTTAACCCATGGTGATTGTTTTACCATTAGGAAACTTTAATTTATAATAATTAGTAGTGGTAATAACGATAAGTAGCAAATTGATAAGTAATTGATAACACAAACACAGGTGAAGTGGATATAGTAGGGTTTATTCAACCTTCTACTGAATTCACTACTTTCACCGCTTCTGTGGATTGGTTGTTAATCACCTACTTGAGACCCAAGGGTCCCGGGTTCGATACCCAGTAGGGGCAGGACATTCCGGGTGAAGCTCGCGTCCACCTTCGGCCTGATCATCACTTCATGGTGGTGAGATGCAGGCCAAGAGCTTCAAATTAAGAATAAAAAAAATTAAACGCGGTGAGCTTTTTGGCTATTCACTTACACACAAATTTTAAGCTCGTATAATGGTTTCAATCACAAAAAACATCCAACCAAAACGTTTAAACTCAAAATTTAACAAATACAATATTATAAAAAGACCTCCACTCCAGAACCGTGCCCCATCGGCCGTCAGTTCTGCGTACTATGTGCCCTGCCCATTGCCACTTCAGCTTGCTAATCCGTCGGTAGGCAGGAGGCAGGAAGGCGCTGGACGCAGGCCGCTACCAACCGGGCAACATGGAAAGCATTGGGGGAGGCTTATGCCGTGCAGCAGTGGACGTCCTATGGCTAAAGCTAGTAAGTTTGCAATGTGTAATCTCTGGATCTACAGAACCGATTTTGAAAAAAAAATCATTTCCAATAGAAAGCCACATTATTTATGAGTGTCGTTGATACAAAGGAAACAGCGGTAGGAAATTTTTCAGGACAGCTGATGATGATATGTAGCAATATTTTAACGAAAACAAAAAGAAACAGTAGGTATGTCATTATTTGTTTCAGGAATAAATGTTAGATTCACAAAACATAATTTCAAACTTACTGAAACTTTTTTTGCTGTGGCAATAGTAGGCATTTGATTAACATGACTAAAAACCAGATTAATGACATTTGTTATTCAAACTACTGTTTATCCTCTCTGTGAAATCATTATATTTATTAACAGTTGCTAAAATGTTCCAGTGTCAAATTTTACTAACTGGAGAAAAATCTATCATCGGATTCTACGCAACAGGAGAAATAGTAAGCGGTGTTGTTAATTATGAGATCACGGAAAAAAGCACTTTTAACAAGATTATAATACAATTACATGGTAAAGGGAAATTAAAAATTCGGGCAAAAAGTTTACAAAAAAGCAAAGATAACTTTTACTACAACTTTGAAACATTTGAAGATATCGAAGAAATTTCACTACTTTCTTCCAAAGGAATTACCCAAGAGCCTGGAAAATATTCACTTCCTTTCAGTTTTACTATCCCTAAAAATATACCTCCATCGTTTGCCTATTTGAAAAGAAAAGGTCTACATAGAGTGAAGTGTCGCATCAAACATCAAATAAAAGTGGAATTTGCATCATTTGGCACAATCATTAATAGCTTTAAGAAATTCAAGAAAGAAATTTATATCGTAGCAGGCGTCAGGCCCAGAGTATCTCCTCTCCCATTGATCTATGGTGCACAGAAAAGCGTAATTCAGCTGTTCAACTTTAAGAAAAAATTAATAACAATCAAAGTCAACATTCAAAAATCTATATTACTGCCTGGCAATAAGATTATATTTGATTACGAAGTAACAAACGATTCAAATGTCAATATAATAACAGTGAGAGTTAAACTGATGGAAGTGTATACCTTAAAAATGGATCGCAAGAGAAATTTAACTGTAGTAGTTAAAACAAGTGATTTGGTGGTGAGGAGCCCAAGAATAAGGAGGCGCTCTAGTTACAAGCAATCGTTGGAGATCGAACTTCCGAGGACTGCGAGTTCGGTGGACTTTACTAACTTTCTGGTGCTGAGGGATTACTTCGTATACATATCCGTGGTGTTGCCATGTCCTCGGCGGAACATACTCCTAAAGATACCTGTTCTAGTGGATGCTAGGAAGGATGAGACCATCACTAAAATGCAGAATGATGTATTCATAAAACATTTTATTCAAGTGCTCAATGACTATGACCGCATGACCAGAAAAACATGTTGCCTTTGCTAATATGCGTGGTTTGTATCGTATAGTAGTTCTTTTTTTGTTAATAATAAACACGTTCAATATTTTCTTTACGCAGCGAAGTGCTCTGTTCTTGACAATTTCAATTTATAATCAACCCTTTCTTATAGTTTTATTAAACCTTCCACAGCTTGTCACAAAAAGAAGGTGCTAGATATAGATCGTTTCATACGCGAAGACGCGCCCCACCATTCTTCCGCTAATGTTTGAGTGTTATCGGTACACGCTAAATTATCCATGTGTGCACACGCACACTACAGTAATGACGCTCGGAATGCTTGGATCAAACTCCCCGCACCCCGTGCTTCCTCGACCAAATAATGGTGGGGCGCGTCTTCGTGGATTAATCGATCTATACTCACTTAGGCATTTCTGAACACTATTTACGCTCTTTGTAAAACGCTTTCTTTTTGTTTGGATAGGGAAAAATTTTCTGATGTCTTTGACTTTGTCTGTATTATAAACGATCACTTATTTTTTATGTAAAAAAACAAGTAAAAGTGTTTGAGTTTAAATATATACCAAATTATTATACATGTTAGTAATACTCATTTAATTATTAGGTATAAGAAAGATAAATAATAATTTAATTTGATAAACGCCTTGTAATTCTTAAAAAGAAAAAAATATTTAATAAAGTTTTTAACTTAAAAATAATTGGATTTTATTTTAATTTAACAACCTTATACATTATTATAAATAAGCACATTATACTAACGATTAAAATATTTGAAACAGATGAGTTCATTCGCTTAATACTTTATTTCAGACTACTTAATTCTACAACGCATATCATCCAGTCAACTGTAGGTGCATTGAGGATAATAAATGCAATAGCTATAAATTATTATTATTCTATTATCAGTATGACATCGTTGACCTTTTGTATCTTACTAATAACCGTAACTAACATCGTCGTCATCATTAATAATTAGGTATTATTAATGATGACGACGATATTATTTTACATAAAATGGCAAATATTTCTAATATTTATTAACCCGTTATCAAGAAATCAGAAAACATCATCATCATCACTATCCTGTTTCTTATCATCAGCCATTGCTTCCCAGTACGACGGAGGAGGGTCGTCAAGGTTTTCTGAATTAGGTTCTTTGTAATCTCCTACTTGAATCGGAATTTTCAAAGCAGCATTTATATGGGGAAATGGGATCACAGCAGTTATATAAACAAAGTAGTCTCGCGACACCATATTGGAGTATTCCAAAGAACCAATATCAAAAGGTATGTTGATAGACACATCAACGTTTGAAGAAGCACCACTGGCAATAGACCCAGTCTTGGATTCTGTATCATGAACTTCATTAGACACTTGGATCTTCCGATGTCCTCTAGTTGTAAAAGTATACGTTTCCACCAACTTAGTTTTGACTCCTTTCAAATTTAGATTGGTTTGGTTGAAAACTTCATAGTTCAACAGCACGTTACCGCCAGATGCATACACGCAGCTCTGTATGTTCGCCTTTATGTTGACAATGCTTGGTTTCTTAGTGAACAATTGGAAAAGTTTCTTTTGCTCTCCATAAATGGTTGGTTCCATAGGCAGCCTGGGCTTGATGCCAGAGACGACAATAATTTTTCTTTCTTCATTCTTTTTGCGAATTTGAAGAGACCTGGTCTGTCGAATTTTATTGCAATATAGTACTCGATGTTGCAAGTTATATCGTAGCTGATATTTCTTGTATAATATTTCAATGAAGGCGGTATATTTTGGGGTAAGGTGATGTTGAATGGGAACTCGTACGCTCCGATCGGTACAGGAACTGATTTGTCGTTATTATGCACCACATTTTTAATGTTTACGTACGTCTCTGAATTTCTATAAACGTGAGCGCCATTTCTTTCTCGACGGCTTTTCCTTAGATCCTTTAATTTTAAAGATCCACTGCCTTTCAGTGATACTGTTATTGTGTTAAACACAGTCTCTTCGTCAACTGCATATCTGATGATACCAGAAACAGTAGAACCCGGTGTAAATGCTCCATCTTGTGGTTTGAATAAATTTATTTCGCAGTGCACGCCCATTTTGTTAGATTTTCAATCGCCAGCACAAACGCACTTTATAATAATGTATGTATTATTTCACTCAGTTCTTATCGACGCCTTGACGTCGCGACGTCACTATCACTTGTGTCCGTGAACGAAATATGAATGTGTATTTAACCAATACATACTATCACTGCTTATCTTTGAAAGATAAATTGGGATTGTTGAGTTGTATGAGCCGCCATGTTCAGGAACAAAACAGAATCGCTGCCGAACTGCACATCGACTGGAGATCTATGCGCGTCGCGTGTCACCCATGTCCGTCCGACGATTTTAACAAAGACTATTTTGCAATATCAATTTGTATGCATTATGATATAATGCTCATATTTATATTATGATTTGAGCGCAAGTAACAGGTTACGCGCACAATTACGCGAGCATCTGTTATGTATTATTAGCAATGACTAACGTGATAATACGTGACGTAGACGGTTATTTTTGATGGGCTGATAATTCGANCGTTTCTTTGAGATACAGCAGATCCGCTGCCTGGGAATTGAAGTCAACTTAAATAAGCCATACATTTTACCTTCCTGATACAACATTTCTGCAGCTCGACATTAAAAAATCAATTGCTGTAACTAGTCAAAAGTCAATGAAGTAGTAACTCTAGATTATTCCAATCACCTTTATTAAATAAAGTTTAATTAGTAGACAAAACATGTAAAATTTCAGCTTTCTAACTTTCTTAATTTAAGATTTATGAATTTTTGAAATAGTTTTTTTGCTCTGGTGTAAAATCGGACTTTTTGAGATACGACAAAATCGCTTTCTGCCGTCGATATAGTTAATCAACATAATTATGAGCCTGTTTTATGTTTTTTTATTTATTATTTTTAAAACCTTTGTTTATGTACTTTAGTATTTTAGTCCGCCATTATAATAATTGAACAGCTTTTTTCCTTATTTACTTACATATTGTAACCTACCTATTCAACCATTTGGTTGCAATATGCATAAGTATCCAGTCATTCATTATTAAGTAAATGGTGATATTTATGATAAGATATAGCACTCATAATAAAATCAATCCCTCCAATTTATTGCACAATATTTATTTAACAATATTATTGATTACTATCATACATGATAGTTATCTAAGTTACCCATACATTTGTGTATACTTAGTCATTTTCTGTTTTTATATTAATCATAACTGAATCTATTTTTAGGCCAAGATAAAATTCCTAAACTAATGAATCAACCACCATTGATTAAAAATATTCAAATAATAGCCTTGTTATATAGATAGATAGTTAAATATTTGTAAGCGAACATTTACACACAAATTGGCAAATAATTGACAATGATAAAACAACAAGAGACAAAAGTAAAGTACGTAAACATAACCCTACTTCTGGCGCAGTCGGGTAAAAAGTATTTCAACATATTAATGTCAAAAAAATTCGGATTATTATGAAAATACTTTAATTTCATTCGAGAAGTCTAATTCTCCACAACTCACACGTAACCGGTAACAAAAAGTGTTTTCAATTTATTTGTGAATAATTATTTCAATATAACGTGTATTGCCGAATATATTCTCTTGAAATTTGAATGATATAAAAATTTGGATAAGTCAGATAAACTAAAAGGTCTTAGTGTTCCGTATAAAATAAACACCAACTTTCCCTCGAATCATCTTCAAATGAAATTCCCACGTCAAAATCGGGTCATCCATTTGAGAACTACATACAATGCTACATCATCATCATCGTCATGATCAGCTAGTTTAGTCTCCACAAGGACTAAAGGAACCACACACCAAACATAATGCAATTTTATGCCAGATAAGCTAAATACAAGTAGAAAGCGATTGATGAATCATAAATCCATATCAAAATTATTATCGCTGATATCCCCAATTCAGTTATGAGACAAATGAGTCATATTTTATTTGTTGATTTATGAATAGATAGCCGTTATCACAATATGAAAAAATAATAAAATTAAAAAAGTAATTCATAAAGTGGGTAGGTACAATAATCAGTAGGTATCTGACATGCCTACCTAAATAAATAAATAAATCTTTGGACAATTTCACACAGCGCCAGCAACTTACTAACCAAAGTAAGCAACTTAATGCTTGTGTTATGGGTGCTAGCTTAACGGATATACTACTTATATACTTTTTTTTTAAATACATAAATATTATACATAGTCACACCCAGACCCGTCACAGAAATTAAAATTCATCATTTCAATTTCTGCCCGGCCGGGAATCTAACCCGGGACCTCTCGGCATAGTAGTCCGTTCTGAACCACTACACCAAACCTAAGGTTAAATAAATTAAAGTAGGTATTTAAAAATTTTTGTACAAACATGATTAAGGGTGGGGTTCATCCATAAAGTACGTCACACGTAAAGAGGGGGGGAGGGGGTTGACAAAGTGTGACATGGTGTGACAAGGGGTGGCAGGGGTCCTAAGTTTCGTGACATCATTTCAATTGTTTTAAATATTAGTACTTAATTTAAATGGAAATAAAACTAATTTCGGAACTGCTGTTAATTTAATAATTTTTTCGATGTGAAATGCAACACATGTGACGTCACACTAGGGAGGGGGGGGGGAATATAAGTAGTGTTTGGTGTATGAATCAAGGAAAAACTAAAATATTTGGGGGCACGGTAGTGCAACCGCTAAGTCTAGCAAATTTTTTCAATTTCGGTCCAGTTTTATAAATATTTAACTACTTACTTAAATAACTTTGTAATACAATATAAATATAAAGGCGCACGGTAGTGTCCCCGCCAAGTCGAGTAATTTTTTTTAATTTTGGTCCAGTTTTCTAGATACATAACTGCTGTCTACAAAATACAAAAAGAAATGAGATCCCATCAAAAACAATACTTGTCAAAAAAACCAAGTCTTGCAACTCAGTTGTTCTACGGTAAAAAGTTGTGAGATCCATGTAATACCAAGTCCAGGCCAGGAAATCTTTAACGTTTTACATAAATATATTGACTTGGCCATCGCATGAAAACACGTGTAAATTAAAATATTTAGTGCGATGGCCAAATCAATAATTTATGTAAAACGTTAAAGATTTCCTTTCCTGGCCTGGACTTGGTATTACATGGATCTCACAACTTTTTACCGTAGAACAACTGAGTTGCGAGACTTGGTTTTTTGACAAGTATTGTTTTTGATGGGATATAGTTGACCAATTTGCGACTAAATTAAATGAACTGAAATACATAAACGATTAAAAATAAACTATTAAACATCCCATGATTACAAATAAATCCTACTAATCCTACTAATATTATAAATGCGAAAGTTTGTATGTCTGGATGTCTGGATATATATAAAATATGTTATTCTTTCACGCAAAAACTACTGAACGGATTTTGATGAAACTTTAAAGTATTATTGTTTACAACCCATAATAACAATAGGCTATAATTTATGACAATCTGTGTCAAACTAAATTTCACGCGGGTGAAGTCGCGGACGTAGTTCTATATTACCATTTGCCAATAAAATAGAGCCCAAAACCTTCAGTTTATGAACCTCTTCCAACTGATACGCAAATATTAACCCCTCCACTGCCGAAC